CAAGTGTTTGAGGTCGATGGCAACCCTTGCCGCTCTCTTGGCGTCTTGATGCCACAAACTTGGGCCTCCAACCTGACGTACTGGACCCAAGAGCAACCTAGGTCTAACAAGGGTACCCTTTATGGCTTAAAGGGGGTTTATAGGGGACCTAAACGCTAAAAAAAAGGTAGTCTAGGACAGTCTGGGTCCACGATTATGCCTTTCTTGGAGACATAAGCCCTAAACCCTAAACCCTAGAAGGGTTTATTCGGGCCTCCCGAAGACTTTTTGAGGCGTCTCACACGCGGCACAGAGATGGGGCGAAAACCTGCAGCACACGTCGGCATAATCTCAACGTTACTGACGGTTCGGGTTTGGGGTTGAGGATTTAGGGAGTGCGACAATGTTATTTCAACTTTGCTAGGAGACAAACGGTCACCGATGCTTTTCTTGTCTTAAGTGTTTTTTTTGGGGGGGATCCCAAACTTACAAAACAGGGAGTTTACGGATACTATAGGGCATCCTGGAGTAACTACACTCTTGTAGTAATTTGGCAAACTTGGCTCACTTTGGCACCTGGCCAGACAAGTCTTAAGCAGGTTAGGGTTAGGGTTTAGGGTTTAGGGTCTAGGTTTAGCTACCTCAGAAAACACAGTGTTCAATCCAAAACCGCTACCGTGAACCCCCAAAAGTTGGAACATCCTAATCCCCATACCCCCAGAGGTCCAGAGGTATACTAATGGGAATCCCAGCTCTAATAATCCTGAAACCATGTTCCAACTTTCTGGGGTTTACTGTAAGGATCTACGGTCGCAACAAAGAACTGCGGGGGAAAACTTGGCATTAAGAAGGCTTTAAGATCGGATTTGGCCGCGGAGGCAGGGGATTCAAGGTAAGGAGTTAAGGGGTGCCGGGTATCATAGTGAAAACATCCCCCTCGAACTCCACAAAAACCAAAAAAACAAGGTCATTGGGGGACTAGGTTTCGGGCAAGCCCTAGCCATTTGCGGGTTAGTGAGTGCCCTGAAACTTGAACACTAAACACTACAATGCTCCAAACTGAACCTAAACGTATCAAGGCCTCCGTGTGGTAGGATTCAAGTGGTCTATGAAACCCTACTCCCTAAATCCTACACCCTTTAACCCCTATAAGTCCCGAGCCCCAAACCCTCTCAAGGTTGGTACCTTGTCGCAGGAGTCCCCTCGAGGGCGTCTTTCCAGTCAGTCCTCGCCCAGCTTATGGCAGGTTGGGTGCCGGGGCTCAGGACTTTGGGGTTTCGGGGTTGCAGGGAGAAGGGTTAATTAGGGGCTTAGGGCTCAGGTTGAGGGGTTGAGGGGTTGAGGGGTTTAGGGCTCAGGTTGAGGGGTTGAGGGGTTTAGGGCATTTCGTTCCCAGCACGACCTGGAAGGTGTGCCGGTGCCGGCACAGCGGTTGCATGGGTCTATGTAGTGGTTCTGAGCAGGGAACTTGATACATGTGTATACAAATATACATATATATATATACATATGTATGTGTATATGTAGATGTACATGTGGCACCTCCTAATTCTCTACAGGAGCGCGCTTATGGCAAAACAGTGGAAGCTGCGCGTCGTTTTCCATGAGTGAGGCTTAGAACTCATGATGCCCGGCAGGCGGTGATGTTTGCGGCGCTGTCTACACAACTGCTGTCAGAGATGCTCCGGAAGTTCGATTTCCAAAATGCGGGCTCTCCCTCATGTGTATTTCTCCCGGGCGATGCGAAATGCAGCGGCTATCCCGTACTGCCATGTGGCAGGAAGCGTGCCACTCGTGCCGTTTCATGAACGGGTGTCATGCCTGATGGATCCGGAAGGTTGCAGTTGAGGTGCACAATGAAAAGTCAAGGCCTCAGGTCAGCTGCCACATAATCAAACTGCCGTGCAAGGCGCCGTCTGTATGATCTGTCGAGGTTTTTTTGCTTCGGAGAACCACTCTGGCTCACGGGGCCTTAGCAGGGAACCTAAGTCCTTAAAACAAAGGGGAATAAGGGCCTACTCTCTGGGCCGTAGCCTCTAATCCCTAGACCCTCAAATCCTAAACCCTAAACTCAGAAGGCACCCTAGAGTTTGTAGAGTTTAGGGCTCACGGTTTGGGGTTTAGGGTTTTGGGGGGTCTCGTGCCTGAACGGTGAAAGCCCTGAACTGAGTCCGAATCCAAGCCTGAACCCTAAAACCGCCTAAAACCTGACGACCCTTTTACTGCCCTAAACCCAAACCCTGAAACCGAAACCCCATAAGCCCTTGACACAGACCCGAGACCCGAACGTTCTTGCCATTGCCCTAGATTTCGCAAACCCTAAACTCTAAACCCTAAGCCCTAAACCCTAAACCTCAACAGTAAGCATCCTGATCCCTTCGCTGAAGGTTGGGATCTCCAGTGTTCAGAGACTTGCTTGGAGATCCTAAACCCTAAGCCCTAAGCCCTAAGCCCTAAACCCTAAACCCTAAACCCTAAACCCTAATTCAAGGGCGCTTCGAACCCAATGAAAAGTGTAGTGAAAACCCACGTATAAGAGCCCCTTGAAGTACCCTAAACCCTAAACCCTAAACCCCAAACCCTAATAGGGCTCTAATTCGGGTCTACAGTTCTAGTTGGGTTACTAGGTATCCTGAACCTCCAAGTGGGGTCTTGGGAGTATTACGGTTCACCGGGCTTGGAACCGTAAACCCTACACCCTAAACCCTAAACCCTAAAAGTGGTAAAAGCCCGCCGCAGGCCTCCCCGCCGAGGACGATGCCTCAGCAGATGAAGCCAGCGGCCCAGAACTCACAACAGCGACACCCTAGACAGCGCCAGGTTTAGGGTTTAGGGTTTAGGGCTTAGGGTTTAGGGTAAAGGGACACTCGAGACTGCGCCAGGACCTAAACCCTGAAGCACCTTTGGGACGACATGAACCCTAAAATTAAAAGAGTTTAAGGTTCAGATACCCTAATCGGAAGTATGGCAGTATAGGGTGTAAGGACCGCCAATTTCCGGGTTCATGTGGTCCCCAAGGCATGGTTTGGGCGCCAAAAGCCTGCGAGCCTCCACGTTAAAGCGTCATATCAGCCGGCATCGGGTTTCGGGTTTCGGGTTTCGGGTTTCGGGTTTAGGGTTTAGGGTTTAGGGTTTAGGGTTTAGGGTGTCGGGTTTAGGGTTTTAAGCCCGAACCCCCAACACGGGTCCTAAAGCTTCCATGCTTTCAAGTTGGATCCCAGACCACGCCACACACCCGAGATGAAGTAGAAGGCAGGGTATAGGGTTAAGGGGTTAAGGGTTTAAGGGGTTAAGGGGTTTAGGGGTTTAGGGTTTAAGGTTTAAGGTTTATAGAGTGCTTCTGATTTATCAATATGTGAGAGAACTGCAGCATTCCCAGCCAGCAAACCCTAACTCGAAAGCCCTAAACCTGCAGAAATCCCCCAAACCTTGAAGTCCCAAATCCCTCAACCCTAAACCCTAAACCCTAAACCCTCAACCCTAAACCCTAAACCGGCAAGGAAACTGTGCTCCCTGGCCGTGTTTGGTGCAGAACTCCACAATTCGGTCTCGCAGCTCCTTCTGCGGTATGAGATCCTGGCGCTGAACTGGCTTTTTTGGGGGGCTTACAGGGTTTAGGGAGTCAGGGAGATAAACTTGGGGTTTTGGGATTTAGGGTTTAGGGATTTAGGGTTGAAGGTTTAAGGTTTTAGGGTTTAGGGGTTACCGCGGGGAATAGGGTTTAGGCTTTAGGGGTTTAGGGTTTAGGGGTTACCGCGGGGAGTAGGGTTTAAGGTTTAGGGGTTTAGGGTTTGGCAGCTTTCGAGGCCGATCCGCAGTGGGGTCCAAGGATCAAGCATCTAGGCGGTAGAGGAGGGCTTCGGGGCATTTCGGGATTAGATGCTCTAGGGTTTAGGGTTTAGGGTTTAGGGTTTAAAGTTTAGGGTTTAGGGACCACCCGTGACTTATTCTCGGCTCCCACATCCTAGGCCCTCAACCCCGAAACCCTCAACCCTAAACCCGGGTCGTAGAGAATCTCAAGCGAGTTCCCGTGCACCCGACATGCACTCTTCCCTGGCCCTAAACCCTAAAGCCTTAACCCTTAAACGCCATCACCGTAAGCCTGCTGGAATGCAAGCCCCCAGGTTCGGGTTTCGGACCTGAGGGTTTAGGGTTTAGGGCTTCAAGGTTTAGGGTTTAGGGCTTCAGGGTTTAGGGTTTAGGGCTTCAGGGTTTAGGGTTTAATTGGGGTTTAGGGTTTAGGGCTTCAGGGGTTTGAGGCTTCAGGGTTCAGTTTATCGGGCTTAGGGTTGACGGCCAGTTGAGGCTTCAGAGTACAGGCGAAGCTTCGACGTGACCGCCAGGGTTTGGGGTTTAGGGGTCGAAGTGCTTACAGGGTTACGGGCTCAAGCTGTGATACCAAAGTGGCTCATGGTAACTCTAAACCCTAAAACCTAAACCCTATAAGCCCTAAGCCCTAAGCCCTGAGCCCTAAACCCTCCACCAACTCGAGCCATGGTCTTGCGAAGTCGAACCTTCGTTTTCGTGCCTCGGCCTTGAGGACCATGGACCCAAAACATTGGAACCGGGTTTAGGGTACCTTAAACAATTGGGTTTAGGGTTTAGGGTTTAGGGATTAGGGTTTAGGGTTTAGGGTACCCTTAGGGGTATGGGGATAAGCATGTTCCAACTTGTTGGAGTTTACTGTAGGATGGCCCTTGACAAACCCGCTGACAAGGCTCCTACATAGAATCCTCTTTTAACCCTAAACCCCAAACCCCAAACCCCAAACCCTAAACCCTAAACCCTAAACCCCAGAAAGGGAAAAGCCCGCAGGGCCTGGTGGCCTACCAAGAGAGCCCCTGGTCCAGTGACCGCACCCCTTTGAGGATTCATTCATATGGGCTTCTCCCAAAATAGGGCCCCCCCTAATATACCCCCAAAATACTATCATCCCTTATTTTGAGCCCCAACAAAGGGTACCCCCATGTTTGGAAACCCCTAGCACATCTTTTTTCATGTCCAGCTCAGAGGATGTATCCCTAGTCGTTGAGGCAGCAGGTATATTGGTTGTAGGAGGCTGACTCGCCACCACCCCAAGTCACGACGGAGCTATCCGCGAGGATGGCCGCGAAGCCGCGGCCCGTTGCTTGGACGTGCCTCGGGGACGACATGAACCTTAAAAGGGCTTATGGGTCATATGACCTTAATAGGAATTATCGTAGTATGGTATAGGGTTTAGGGTTTAGGGTTTAGGGCTTAGGGTTTAGGGTTTAGGGTTTAGGGTTTAGGGTTTAGGGTTTAGGGTTTAGGGTTTAGAGTTTAGGGTTTAGGGTTTAGGGTTCATATTACCTTCATAGGAATTACAGTAGGTAGAGAGCATAGGACCCCAATTTTAGGGTTCATGTGGTCCCCAAGGTGCACGACGTTGTGCAGCTTATCTTGGACTGCGCTGCTGTCACCACCCTCTTCTGCAGCGCCCCAGGTAACGACCGAGCCGTTTGCGCGAATGGCAGCAAACCTTGGGGACCAATGAACCGTAACATTGGGGTCCTATACCCGGTACTACTATGATTCCTAGTAAGGCATGTGAACCACAAATGGGTTCATTTCGTCCCCAAGGAACGCGCTCCTTGTAGACTGTATGTGCAGTACCTCACGCAGGTCAGCTTCGCAAAATCCACCAAACTGCCCAGCACCCCAAGTCACGACCTTGGCAGCCCACAGGAACCACATCTCAATAGGGGCACCCTTTTTGGGGGTTGGCTACTTGATAAGGGAACCTTGACTAGGCTGCCCAGGAACCTAGGCTTAAATAAGGGTGCCCTTTTTTTGCGTAAAGGGGTTTATAAGGGAACCTAAAGCACCAAAAAGGGAATAAGGGTACTACTGGGCTGCCAAGCAGCGGATCCATCCAAGCGAATGGCGGCGAAGGAAAAGTCAGTAGCTTGGATCTTCCTTGGGGACCAAGTGAACCCTAAAATTGGGTCCTATACCCAAACTACGATAATTCCTATAAAGGTATATGAACCCTAAACCCTCAACCTTAAACCCTAAACCCTTTTAGGGTTCATTTCGTCCCCAAGGTTCTGCACCTGGCTCAGCTGCGCTTGCACCGCGCTGCTGTTGCCGCCGTAGGCGACCGAACCCCAGGTGACAACGGTGCCATCATGGCAGATTGCAGCGAAGGCGCCTTGAGATGCCTTGGGGACCAAATGAGCCCTAAAATTGGGGGTCATATACCCTATACTACTCTAATCCTATTAAGGTGAACCCATAAACCCTTTTAGGGTTCATTTGGTCCCCAAGGTGCTTGAATCTCTTTGACATTCTGCAGTTGGTCGGCCACTGCGCTGCTATCTCCTCCCATCTCTGGCCAGCCCCAGGACACCACACAGCCGTCCTAGGATGGCCAAGTATAATCGTTTAGGGTTTAGGGTTTAGGGTTTAGGGTTTAGGGTTTAGGGTTTAGGGTTTAGGGTTAATAAAACCCTCTGAAACATATTCCTGAATATGATCCTCCTACACGAAGAAATTAAGGGAAAAGATCACATATCCCAAGGGCCAACCTAGTGTCTGCGCGAATTGCGGCAAAGGCACCCAGCGTGGCCTGTATGTGCTGAACGTTCAGGAGCTGGTCCTGCACCCTCTCGCTGCAGCCGCCATTTTGAGCATGGCCCCAAGTCACCACCTTGGAGGCGAGTAAAATGAACCCTAAAATTGGGGTCCTATACCCTATACTACTGCAAGTCTTTTTCAGAGGGCACACGCGAAGAAATTTTTTAAGGCCGGGGGGGGGGGGGGGGGGGGGGTTTTATCATGGTAACGCCCCCTTCACTGACTACCGCGGGTTACTCCTGGGGGGAGGGGGGGGGGGGGCGCGATTAATTTTCTTTTTTTTTTGATGGGGGGGGGGGGGTCGCGATTATTATTATTATTATAAGTAAACCATTACTACTACTACTACTACTACTACTACTACTACTACTACTACTACTACTACTACTACTACTACTACTACTACTACTACTACCACTACCACTACCACTACTACTACTACTACGGCGAAGAATTTTTTTAAGGCCGGGGGGGGGGTGGTTTATCATTGTAACCCCCCCTTCATACGACAGCGGGTTCTCCGTGTGGGGTGGGGGCGCGATTATTATTATTTTTTTTTTGAGGGGGGGGGGGTCGCGATTATTATTATTATTATCTGTACCACCATTACTACTACTACTACTACTACTACTACTACTACTACTACTACTACTACTACTACTTCTACTACTACTACTACTACTACCACTACTACTACTACTACTACTACTACTACTACTACTACTACTACTACTACTACTACTACTACTACTACTACTACTACTAATACTACTACTACTACTACTACTACTACTACTACTACTACTACTACTACTACTACTACTACTACTACTACTACGAGTACTACTACTACTACTACTACTACTACTACTACTACTACTACTACTACTACTACTACTACTACTACTACTACTACTACTACTACTACTACTACTACTACTACTACTACTACTACTACTACTA